GTAACAAAATGAAGATGCTGCTTTTTTAAAAAATAAGAAGATGATCAAATATCTGCTTGTGTTCCTATTACCTATCATGCTCCTGCTTGAATGAGGTACATACTGATAATAAACTACATTTTAGAGATGGGTGCTACGTTTTATTCTAAGAATTGATGTCAGTTTGAAATATATGTTACTTTGAAAGATAAATTAGTGGGTGACTGCTTTATAATAAGTAATAAAAGAAATGGCACCTTTGAGTTAATGTCCTCAGTGTCACTCAGACTCCCTAACAAAATGATCCCTGTGCAGTTATCATAGAATGATCTTGAGTTTCCCTGACTCTGAAAAATAAGTGGAAAGACCAACATATTTTGCCTAATAGAAAGGAGAAAGTGAAATCTCTTAGGACTACCTGGGAATCAGCAAAAGCCCCAAGTATCCACTGGGTACCACAATGCAAACAAGTAATTGATAAATTATACATAAACTTACCTATAATGCCACAAATAACACATACCAAACTAAGACACTTATTACAGTTAGATGCAGCTTCCTTTGCCTTAGCTTCTGTTTCACTATCAATTTCAATTGCCAATTCCGTTAAGCTATCCAAATTAACATCTGACCTTATGAACGATCAAATGGACCAACAGGATTTTATACTGAAATTAATTTCCAAAAATTTCAATTTGGCCTATAACTTAGTGATACAGACTCAACTACAGCTAAGATTACTGCAACAAGCAGCACAGCAAACTGATGAAAATATACAACAATTACATTTAAACCTACAAGATTTGAATTCAAGATTTCAATCCTTCCAGTTGGAATATCAATGCCAACAAACCCAAAATCATTTAACTATTGCTTATTTGGATATCCTATATTTAATGCATAATGGACATGGCTTGAACCCCTTATGGAGTGATTCAACAGTTAGAGTAGATTTTTCAAAACCAGTTGGATGTGAAGTTTTTGAATGTCAACTGACACTTCTCTCCACCATTGGAGGAGAACACCTTATTGCATATCCTACAATTAACCTACCTATAAAACTACATGATGACTCTTTTGCTCTCCCACTAGCTAATTTACTTTATGCCGATCCCTACTTTTTTCCAAGAAAGGAACTTGTTGAATTCTCACCACAGATATATATAGGACCTACATCTTTGCAGGTAGATCTTTTTCCGGTATCCCTCATGCCACACAACCCCTCACCTATTATTCACAATTTAGGGCACTTCTTTTTTATCTTTTGCTTCACCAATGTATCTTACTATGATCATACAACTAATAACAACCTCTTTGCTTCAGCCCCTGAAGGCTGCAAACTACTTAAGCATGCAATGAACATCACCACCTCATCCAATTCTACCCTATATTCTTCCCGTAGCACTTCATCTTCTTTACATTACCACCCCTCTATTCCTTTACAACCCAAACTTTCCACTAAACATTACACGGCACCCCCCACCTTGAATGAGACTATCCAGAAACTTCAGGCTCTGCAAGAACACAAGCAGATGATACTACAGGACTTCAAGACCTCCAAGGATTATCTCCAACACCTCGCCTACGTACCCAATGCCGGGACCATCATCACAAAGAAGGACCTTGAACACCTGAATACCCCATGTTCAATGACAGACACCTTCCTATCATTATGGAGAATTGTACCCTGTAAGCCTACCTGGAACCACTTCTTGCTAATGAACTTGATAAAAAAATAAAAGGACTTTCCTCTTTTGAAGCAGCATGGACATTAGCCAAAGAAATTTTGTTTGGAATTGCATTAATTTTCTTGTTTATTTTAGCCATTAGAGTGTTCAAAATTTTTCTTTGTTTAATTCCTAACTCTAAAAAGTAGTTTTTTGGTTCCCTTGTTATTCTTTTGGAATCCCTTTGGGAACCACCGGGTGGAATGTTATAGTAATCATTATGGTACTTAATGTTAGGACCTTAGAATGTAAGACTTAAAGCATGTAACCCTGTGTGGACTGTTATAGTATTATTATAGTACCTAATGTTAGATAGAGGAATACTGTTTGAGACCCAAGAATGCACCCTTGTAACCCCACTAGTACTGGTAAACAACCTATCTGATGGGAACTCCCAAAGCCTGTACAGACCCATAGATTAGCAGACCCCGGGTAGATTTACATATGGCAGCCACTGATAACACACACACCAACGAAGACCACGTCTACAGAGGGGTATATAATCAGTCAGTCTGATCGACCCAGCAGCGCATAGCTCTCCTGTCGCCAGAGCATGAGGACCTGTGTGTGCTCGTCTCGGTTCCCAGCACAAAACTCTGCCCAATTAACTGTCGATCGAGGAAAGAGCCAGCAGCCAACGGCGCCGTCTACCCCTTTGTGTGTATCAGCGAGCATCGCCAGGTGGATCCTTCCCAGCATCTGAGACCCATCAGGAACTGGTAAATAAACCCCCTGTGTGCTTGCATCTAACCTGTTTGTCTGTGTGTAATTTCTCTGGCTCAGCTCAGATCTCGGTGCTGTCTCTGTGAAAGTGCCTGACCAGAAGGTATTGGCACAAGCCTCAAGCGGATGGTCCAGACCACCTGTGCATGTCCCACTTAGGAGCAGCACCTATATGGGAACCCTCCACACCTTGACATAGGTGATGGGCCTTAAATATATAAGAAATAGAAGCCTATTTGGGACACCCAGGTATTTATCATCTAGAAATCTCTGCAGGTGATGGACTACTGAATTGGTGGTCTGTTCATTGTCACAGACAACATTGGAACATAAGTTTCTGGACCAACTACTGACCTGTCACACAAAGAGATTCTTGGACTATATCTAGAAGATCAAAATGTATTTCTAGCACCTCATGACTGCTCTGAATTCATTTGCATGATATGCTTGTGTGTGTGTATGTGTGTGTGCGTGTGTTACAAGCCATTAGCAACACTATGAATGAGTGATGTTCACAATATGTGCTCAACTGCCCTGCTCAGTCCTTGTACTAATAGACTCCTACCTACAGTTTCTTTTATGGCCTCAATCCATCTCATATTTGATCTTCCTTACTCCAGCTGTCTTCATTTTTCCCCAGCATTATTGTCTCTTCAAAATAACTCTGCCTTCTCATGATGTGCCTGAAGTAAGACAGCCTCAGTTTTGTCTTTTTTTTTTTTTTTTCCTCCAGTGATGTTCAGGCTTAACTTGCCCTTGGTTCCACTTGTTCGTCTTCCTGGTGGTCCAGGGTATCTGTAGAGCCTTCCTCTAACACCATACTTCAAATAAGACAGTCATGTCTAAACACTATGACAAATTTTTGTTTAAAAAAAGAAAATATTAGTATCAGGTTTCTATACAGAAATGTGATTTTTAGCACAGCCTTTATGCTCATAAAACGTAAGTTGACCAAGATCAGGAAAGACAGGACT